ATCCTATACCAGTGTGTTTTATTTTTGTTTTATGTGAAAAATTCTGCATTTTGTTTCTGTAAATTTCTATTGCTTTCAACCTATTTCTCCAACTTTGAGAACTATAGTTCTATCTATCTATCTATCTATCTATCTATCTATCTATCTATCTATCTATCATCTCTCTATTTAATATATTCGTACAACCACCCATCTTAAACCCAAACTCTGAGAGGCTTACAACCCAACAATACAAATAACATATATAGCTAAAACAAAAACAATAAAACCAAAAACATGAAAAACAGAAAAACCTGTCACTGCAACCCTACATTCCTGATGTAACCCCCCATATTCTCATCCTGCTCTGACCTCATCCTATCCCAATGCTTGGGGGAAGAACCAGGTCTTGAGTGCTCTCCCCAAAGTTAAAAGGGTGGGGGCCTATCAGATCTCCAGGGGGAAGGTATTCGATAGGGCAGGGGCTGCAACAGAAAATCTAATTATTATGACATTCAGCTCATACTTAATCAGCTTGCTAATCACCATTTTGTGTGGAATATTATCAACTACCTCACTGAAGTTAAGGTATATCATGTCTGCAGCATTCCCACAATCTATTAAGAAGTTAGCTAATAGCTAGATTGATACAATTTGTTTGGCAAAATTGATGTCAATTTCTGGTAATTATTGACTCTAGCTGGAGTTTTCATAAGTCTTTACCATAATAACAAATGTCAGTTTAATATTATACTAATTGACAACATCTTGGAGTAACTAAAAGAAAAATGTAGAACAACAGTCTTTCAACATGACCCCTTCTGGGATTAATAATTTCTAATAAAATATATTACAATGCTCATGATGAGGTTCTTTGTGGACTAATTTTATAGCACAAGAGTTCTTACCAACTGTGGAGTGTTTCCTTATTCAGCAACAGAGAAAACATATCCAACTCATTCGTATCTATATCAGGGTGCAGACTAACACCTTATGACATTTTGACAGAATTAACTAGCAGCAAAAGTTTGGTATGTACAGTAATACCTCGGTTCAGGAACGCTTCTGTTCACGAACAATTCGGTTCACGAACAGCAGCGTTCACAAAATTTTGCTTCCGTTCGCGAACTCTGCATCAGGTGACGAACACGACCCGTGGCCATCTTCCCTGCTCTGACACATGGTCGTGGCTTCCTCTAAGCAAGATCGCGGTCGCAGATAGACACTTGCTGTGAAGTTTTTTGGTGTCGCCTCAAGCAAGGTTAGTGTTCTCTCTCTTCATACTGTACTGTACTGTACTTTGTTTCATATTTTTGTGGTTAAAAAAAAATACATATGGTTCAGAATGGATTAACCTTATTTACATTGAACTTTATGAGGAAATTAGATTCGGTTGGCGACCACGTTCGTAGGGGTCAGAACGGATTAACCTTATTTACATTGAACCTTATGGGGAAATTTGATGGGGTGGGCGCCAATTTCGGTTGGCGCCCACGTTCGTAGGGGTCAGAACGGATTAACCT